TTGCTGAATGCATTTAATTATCATGCCATGTCTTTAGTGATTCTTCAGCCTAATATAAAAATAGCACTTGACCAAGCTGTAGGGATTAGGAAAGGACATGCGTTGCACTGCGCAGCTTTCATTGAGGCATATGACCTTTTAATCTAATAAAAAAAACAAAAAAAAAACCAACACTGGCGGGGAGAAAAACGAAAGAGTAAAAGAAAGGAATACTGTAGAAAAATAATGGTCCTTTTCAAACTTTACCCCTCTGGTATTGCGGCCTGATAAAAAAAAATTAACGACTAGCCACAATTCGAATGCGAATCGAACAGAAACAAATCTCAGAATCGCTTTCAGTAACATACTCATACTGTGGCACCTCACTGTGACAAGATTTAAACAGCTACAAAGTTTTGGAAACTGAAATCGTTTTCTCTTATTAGACACATTAGCGGATAGTCACAAAAGTCATTTAAGACATCTTAGGCTCATGTATGTACTGGACAGACAATTTGTCTTCGTCAACATACATTTTTGCAGTAAATCGCCGTGGGGACGAGCAGTTGCGGTCCAGTGTTAAATATTTAGACATAGATATTGTAATTTTCTGTCAGTGTGCAATTTAATTAAAGTCAGTTATTATATTTTATCTCTTTTCTCTTTTCAGAACATAATTCATGTTTCAGTATTTGTAAAAGTAATTGTAGCAGTATCCGCAGTAGTATACAAAGTAGGAGTCGTTGTAGTATTAGTAGTATTGGAAGACAGATGCTGCTGTAGTATAATTATAAATGGCAGTAATAGTAATAATGGTTATAGTAGTGATTGTAATTGTAATAGTGTCAAAAAAAATGAGGGTCACGTTAGCGCAGTCGATAGGAGACTAGCTTTCAAATCCACCTGTGATTCGCTGAAGCCCACGGCCAGTGTTCGAAACCAGGTGGTTCCAGGGGTTCACCCAGCCTCTGAGTAATGGATACCAGAGTTAACACTCTGGGGTAAATGGAGAAACGTTGCTGTAGCTACGGAGTTGCATGCTACACAGGCGGACAGTTCTTTGTTATCAGCTGTCAGTACTGGTAGCAGAGCACTGATGGTTTATAACCGCGTGCAGTGACGATGGTTCACATCTCCCGACTTTACCCTTTAAAAAAAAAAAAAAAAGTGGTAATAGTAACATTGATAAAAACATGCGAGTATTAGCAATGACAGCTGTACTAACGGCAATAAAAGTAGTCAGCATATAAGCAACAGAATAAAGAGCTTTAGAAAGTAACATACATTTGAAGTAATGAAATCTGGGCACTCTTCCGAATACCGGTCCCAAATTACTTACTGTCCAAAACATCCCTTTTAGAGCCTCAAGGGGTTCAAGGGGTTATAAAGAGGTTATACAAAATATTAGCTGTTAACCACAACACAACGTGCAAACCACTCTTTTAAAGAAAAGAAAAAATTAGCCCGCCGGAGAATCGTAGCCCGATCACAGGCGTAACAGGCAGAATGCATATCAACTGTAGTAGCGAAGACGTCGGTAATTTTGTTCAAACGAAATTAGGTTCACCCGAAATTATATATTAAAAAAAAAAAGAAAGCATAGTTCGTAGTGTTCCTTTCCATATTTTGAACTACATGACCTCTCAAGTCCCTAACTACGACCTCTTGATACCCTGAATGGGATTTTTTGTCTTTGAATAATTTGGGACCGAAATCTGCATTCATATGTAGACACATTTATAACAACAATAACAACAACAACTACTATTATTATTAAGACTACTGCACCTACTATTGCCACTGCTGCTGCTACTATACTACTACTGCAAAGACGACGACAACAATTATTACTTCTGCTACTACTACTACTACTACTACTACTACTACTACTACTACTACTACTACTACTACTACTACTACTACTACTACTGCTGCTACTGCTACTGCTACTACTACTACTACTACTACTACTACTACTACTACCACTACTAGTACTACTACTACTACAACTACTACTACTATCCCACTACAGTGTAGCTTCTACAACTACAACATCTACTATAACGACAATATTTACAACAACAACTACTACTGCAGCTGCAGTAACTAAAACTTCACTAACACATACATATAATGCTGGCAGATAATGATTTTCGGCGATTCCAACGGGGGACAACATTATTATAGAATCCTGGAAAGCGTCACATGTAAGGAGATCCTGAAAGCTCAAGCAAAACACTGGCACAAACCTCTGTTGTGTGTTGATGAAGAGAACAACTTCACGTTAAGCTGGAACCCCCATACCAACCCTTTCATCAGTGGGGTAGGTTTTATTTTTAAAGATCATGCTGTGTGTGTGTGTGTGTGTGTGTGTGTGTGTGTGTGTGTGTGTGTGTGTATGTGTGTGTGAGTGTGTGTGTGTGTAGAGTTACTTAACTTTGTGGGTCTCGAGCAACTCTTTCTTCTTCTTTCTTTTGTCCTATAAAAAGTAAAGGACCCTTTCCACTCCTTTCAGGCGTATTGGATATATAGGGCTAGATCTATATTTTATAGACCAAACGGCACTTGTTGGGTGATGTGGTCAGCATTGCGCCTGTCGCGGTTACTTTCCAGGACTGCACATGGTACCCACTCAAGGCTGGGTCGACCTGAGAGCCAAGGTCGCTTTTGAAAAAAAGTCTGGTCACCTTCTATCCTATAGCTACTGCCGTAAAGCGTTGTAGAGAGGAGTCAGGTGTAATTTTCTGTCCTTTACTAGTTGTGTTTATGTCATATTGCGTTTCTGAAATTTCTCTTTTACTCTCTTCATCCATTTCTTTCTTCGTCGGCCTCTTGCCTTGTAGCATGCTTTTCTCATAAAATACGCTCTAGCTGCTCGCTGAGTGTGTTCCATTCTAACCAGAAGACTGTAAAGTGCTTTGCTAGGGGTATGTATTGTTAAGCCACATTGCTTTTAGACGAACAGTAAGTTGTAACGACACAGCATGAACGAATATTGAGTTGCTTGCTTTTATTCGTTGAATCACAACATATCGCATGCATACATTCTCGCGTCCTCGTGCTCGTCTTGCTCGGCTGATTCTGGCGACCTGGTCAGACTTCTCACACACTACATGAATCCATCAGCGTCTCTCAAATCATCCATCCATCCTTCACGAACCCTGGTACTTGACATTAAGACATGTGGAAAACATTCAATCCTCCTTTCGAAATAAAACACTCGTTTCAAAATTCGTTCATTCTTCTCAGGCGTCCACTAATGCGACCTCTCTCAGCCAGGTCCGAACTTCAACTGTCTTGCTCATGTCTCCCGGTTCACGTCTTCCGTTCACATCTCATGCTTTTCTTGTGTCCCTCACTTCGCTCACCATGAGATACACGAGACCCACTTATCTCGTTTGTCACTTCTATCACTGGTTCTCTGACCTTGTCCTCCCCATCCGGAACTCTCTGGGATGTTCCCGGGAATTCACAACATTACAATCTCCCCCTCCTTTCTAGTAAAAAAAATTTAACCTTAAATTGTTTTTTTATTACTTTATCTTTAGGTTTTAATTTTAAAGGTTTGGGATGACTTTAATGTAATGATGTGGATTACATAATAATCATTTTGGGTTTTGGTGGTTACTTCCCTTTCACTAGGTTACACATTATTTCCCTTTGTCACATTACCAGTTATTGTATCCAGTAAGTACCAAGTGGCTTAATGGGAATCAACCATTCTGGCACTCTCTTCCAAATGCGGTAGTCCAAATAGGCTCTGCCCATAACCCCATCCCATCCCACAGTCTGTATAAAACAGAACAACAATTCTGGTACTCTCTTTCAAGTACTGAAGTCCACATCGGCTATGGAACAGACATGTAGAAAACCCGCAAAGCCACCCTAACCGTTGGACTCATTGGCTACTGTCACTGGTTTCCGTTTCAATTAGAGTTTCATGTTTCCCTATTAAGGATTTCGACCCCAATCCCTTGGATTATGTGGTGTTACTTACCCATCATTTTTTTTCAAAAAAGTATTATTATTCCCTTTTACAATCATTTTTACCAAATAATCTACATAAAAACATATACAATCATTATTAAACCTTGTTTAAACATGCTGTATCATCATCATCATTGTCATAATCATTATCATTATCATTGTCGTCATCATCATCATCGTTATCATCATCTTCATCATCATCATCATCATCATCGTTGTCGTCGTCAATATCATCATCATTATTGTCATCATCTTCATCTCATCATCCTCATCGTTGTCGTCGTCATCATCATCATTATTATCATCACTTTCCTCCTTATACTCTTCATCTTCGACATTATACTGTTAGTTGCAACCGAATATAACAAATATACAAATCATCAGTTATGCTATGCTTACATATTTCATTCATTCAACAATACTGTTTCCCTATTTCCTTACGTAATACATACACATTTAAAACCTTGAATCTATGCTTATAATCTGGACATCACGTCGGGTAGATGGTTTTCAATGCCCTTAATGTGTTCTATTTTGAACTGAAATTGGGATATTAATAACGCCCATCTGTTTACTCTTGCGTTGCTAGTTGCATCCATTGTTAACAATTTTGTCAGGCCTAAGTTGTCAGTCAGAATAATACATTTCTTTCCTATTAAGTATTTTTGGAATTTCTTAACGCTGATCACAAGAGCAAGAGCCTCTTTTTCGAAAGTACTGTAATTTTGCTGAGTGGAATTAAGTTTCTGTGAAAGGTACAGAACCGGAAGAAGAGTACCGGAATGCCTTTGAGCCAACATCGCGGCTATGGTATGACCACTAGCGTCAAGTTTGTAGGTAGAAAGTTCTAGAGAGATCGGGTTGTCTCAGTATTGGTGGCGTTGCAAACAAAGACTTAATTTTTTTTTTAACGATTTTGTCATGATTTTCTGTCCAATCTTTTTTTTTCTAAACTGGTCTTTTTTCAAAAGTTCAGACAAAGGGGCAGTTAGTTCAGCTAACTTAGGGATAAACTTGCCGTAAAAATTTACCAGCTAATAGTGCCTGTAGTTGTTTTTTGGTCTTCGGTCTTTCAATTTTTAAAATCTTAGAAACAATTGTCTCGTCAGTCTGAATACTTCCCTGGAAAACTGTATGTCCTAAAAATTGAATACGTGTGAAACAAAACTCTGATTTTACTGGGTTAACTGTCAGATTTGCCTTTTGAATGTTGTGGAACACTTTTTGCAAGGTGTCTATGTGTTCCGGCAAAATTTTCGTGTGTAAACAAATATCGTCCATGTATGCTGTTACATTATCAATACCTGTTAATACCTTTCTAATCATCTTTGTAAAGATTTTTGATACATTTATCAAACCAAAGGGTAACCGTAACCACTGTTTTAAACCAAGTGGGGTTTGGAAGCTAGTATATCGGCTGGCTCTCTGGGTCAGTAGGATTTGCCAGTAACCTTTACAGAGATATAATTTCGTGAAGAATTTGGAATTGTATAAATTCTGGATTATCTCCTCTGTTGAAGGAATGGGTTCTGATTCCAAATGGGTTATGGCATTTAGTTTTCTGTAATCTACGCATAATCTCAAACTGCCATCTTTCTTTTTTACAATTACCATTGGCGAGCTGTATTCTGATGTGAGTCTTCGATTATACCTTCTGCTTGTTGTTGTTTCAGTTCGTCTACAACTTTTCCAACATAATGAATGGGAATAGCATAGTTTCTAGCTTTAACCGGAATGGTTGAGTTCAACTGTATGTCAAATTGGATTACATCTGTTTTCCCAGGTTTGTTGGTAAAAATATTTTTGTACTTTTGGATTACGCCCTCGATTTTTTCTTTATCTCCTGGTGATAACTCCGGGTTTATCTTTACAGACCTCCAGTTGATCTCATCCTTCACTGACGGTGTTGGTATTTCGTCATTAATTGTGTCAGTTATTTGTTGATTGATCATGTTACAAGCATTGACATTTTCTATAATATCATCACTAACATTTCTTCTAAAATATCTTTTCATCATGTTTACATGAAAAATTTTCAATTTCCTTTTATAGTTAATTTCATAGTCAACATCTGAAATTTTTCTTACTACAGTGTATGGGCCACGCCATTCGATGCACAGTTTGTCTGAATCTTTTGGAAGCAATATAAGCACTTCTTGACCGGGTGCGAAAGTCATCAGTTTAGTATTTATGTTCGCATACATTCGCTGCTTGTGTGTTGCGTGGACACATGCCTTTTTTGCCTCTTCGTATGCTACCATTATTTTGTGTCTCAGATTGATGACTGTTTCACAATATTGTGCTTTTGATTCAGACTCAGTTTTTCCTATGATCATGTTCTTATATACTTCTAATGGTCCTCTGGGATTTGCGCCGTAAATAATTTCAAATGGGGACATGCCAGTGGAACTATGGGGTTTTTCTCTATAAGCAAATAAAATTGCTGGTAATAAAGTGTCCCTATTGGATGGATTCTCGTAGGCTACTCTAGCCAAAATGGTTTTTATAGATTTAATAAGGTTTTCCACTAAACCATTAGCTTGTGCATGGTATGGGGATGTAAAATGTTGGCGTATTCCTGACAGGTTGGTGACAGCTTTAGTTATGGCTGAGGTGAACTGGGTACCCCTATATGACACTATTACTTCCGGGAAACCTATTCTGGAGAAAATTAACAACAATGCTTCTTGAATGTGGTCGCTGGTAATAAATTTGAGTGGTATGCATTCTGGCCACTTGCTTCCTACGTCTATTTTGGTGAGAATAAATCTATTCCCTTTCGCCGATGAAACAGGTAAGGGTCCTACAATGTCTACTACGACTTGCTCAAACAGTCTGTTGGCAGTAAGGCCGGGTTGAACAGGGGCCTTTGGGTTTACCCCCCTTTTTTTGTGTGGTGGTTTTCAAACAGATATCACACGATTTGACGTATTTTTTATGTCTTTTGCAAAACCAGGCCAAAAAAATGTAGATAGTATTCTTGTTGTAGTCTTAGATATTCCTAAGTGCCCTGCAAAAATGGAATCGTGTGCCAACACTAAAGCTTGATTTCTACAATTGACTGGTAGTACAATTTGTCTAGTTACTCTAGACCCTTTGGTATACAACATAGTCAGAACATTTCTGTGTAAAACAAATTTCCACTTTGTATTTTTACCAACATTTGGTGTTGCATTCAGTAATCGGAAGCATTTAATGAGCGATTTGTCGCTTTTTGGCTCTTGCTGAAATTTCATGCTCTTATTTAAATCTTCCACTGTGATTGGTTTCATTTGACTTTCTTTTTTTTTTTTTTGTGGTAAATTTTCTTTACTTTTTTCTGTCATGCTTCTGGTCACTGCTGCAGCCACCTGAGTTTCTTCTTCTACATTAGATTCAGTACTGGATCTGTTGTTAGTGTCTAGGTTTTCATTCTTCCTTTCAATCTCCTAGCTTTCTCTGACACATTCTTTATGGGGTATGGAGTGTTATCTTTTGTATCATCACTCTCACTTGAGTTGACACACTCTTTGAAATTTGGAGGGTTGTCTTTCGTAACATCACTCTCACTTGCATTAGCGCACTCTTTGTGATATGGGGAGTTGTTTTCCATACTTCCATTCTCACAATACTTTGGAATATTTCTTTGTTCCCAGGCTAAAATGTCACTCTCAGTTACTTTTCTCAAATCTTCCCTGTTCCCCAAAATCAAATCAGCACAAGGGGATGGTAACACTGCAACAGCTATGAACTTCTCTAAATATGGTGTTTTAACAAACATGTTAGCCAGTCTATATCTCTCAATACTACAACCGAAGGTACGACAATGGATGTATTCATCTGTTAAATCTTCTGGTCTAACCAATCTTTGATGCACTCCGGAAATAGACGCACCGCTGTCCCTAAGGAGTGATATGGTTTGCCCATGGATCTGACCTTTCTGCAATCTCAGACTACCGTGGCCGTGTGCTGCCAGATTGGCGTTTTGAATGGGTATCAGGTGTCCACACGGTAGATTGCCTTCCTCATGGAATTTCGAACAGATTTTACATTTTTCTTCTGTTTCGTACATGGTAACTGAATTATCTTCAGCTGCGTCGATGTCTGAATCATCATCTGACCTACCACATTTAAATCCTTAAACCGTTTTATAACAGGGCATATAATCACACGTAATGTCTAGTGTGATTATAACATCGACAGATATAACATTTAATGGCATATTCATACCTATTTAGCTTATTTTTTTCTAAGAGCAATCACTTCTGCCACTCTTTTCTCAAATTGTGGACTCTCATCACAAGGGGAATCGTCACCATGTTTTCCGTGACAGTAGTTGCATTCGATGATCTTTACCTGTTTCTTGCCATACCTGTAGTCTTTTTTTTTTTTTTTTTTTGAAATTTCTGTTGGTATGGTTTTATATAGGCTGCTGCTCCCACTTCTACCATTTCAAAAGTCGATTGCACGAATATATCAGGGTGTGCTGCAATATATATACATATATATAAATGACTTATTTTCATAGTGGATTTGGCCACAAAGTTATTGTACCATGTCACTACAGATTCTAGCTAGTTAGTCTGCTATTTCTTTGCTTTTTAAGCCACAGTGACTTCAGGACAGATAGGTCGCTTGCAGAGCCTGTCTGAATCAGTTCTTGAGTCAAGTCTACAAATTGTGTCTTTCTTGGTTTAACAATTTCGCATAGAACCGCTTTAGCACTAGTATTTTCAGGGAAGTTAATGCCAACAGAAATGAATATGCCAGTGCCTCGCAGTTGCAAGACTACCAACCTCTTGTTACAGATTGTTTCCTTTAAAAAAAATTTTAAACCATTTGGACATCCTAAAAAAAAAAAAAAAAAGTTGGATCTCGACTTAATATTCTGAAATCGTGACTTCTTAATTTAAAAAAAAAAAACATATACAAATTATTAGAATACGTGAAAGTAAGAACAAGAAATAACATTCTGCGGGATTTTAACATTGATGAAACCTTGCTGATAAACAGCATTTTCTTATTTTGTCGCTCCATTTTTGCAGGGTTGGAACCCACTGTGGTGGTTTATGTATTTGACTTGCTGTTCTCCAGTGGCTTGAGTGATTAATTTGTCCATTCTGTTGCTGGATTCACCGCTCTGTTCATCTATTCCTAAGTCTTCTTTTCCTCTTTCGTCTGAATATTATGCCGTAGAAGGTTTCATGCTGCAGCGTGGTCTTGCTGCATTTGTAAATAGATGACTGAATCACTTTATCCTTTGTCTTGAAATGTAATTCAGGCACAGTCTTCTTCCAACTTTCTCTCTAATGCTGGCATACAAAACCCTGCCCCTTTTTGTATTTTTTTAAAATCTTTCGGCAAGAAGAGACTATTTTCTGTTGCTCTTATCGTCTTATTGTTAATTTTAGTCACTGATAACACAAAAGTTAGATTATGGATACAAAACAGTAACACAGAAACTGAAATACTAACCACTGTGAAGACCTCTGCATGATATAAAAAATAAGTGTGAGAAGCATTGCTCTTGGAAGAAGAACCACAAGTGAACAACTTGCAGATGAATACCTGCCATGTGGGAAACACATCGCGAGAAAAATCACACGATCAGAAGGAATCGAAAGAGATCAGTATCGTTTCCGGCAGACTGCAGTTGGACAGACGTTCTTCATTACGATGCTGACGTTCACATCTATACACAGCCAGACTGCAAGCGCCAGTGCTGCTTAGTCATTACTGTTACTACGTATATTGGTAAAGGTTATGCAGAACTGTTTTTGTTTCCACAGCGTCTCCTGGCATCCTTGGACAGCCTAATTCCGACGTCTAAGGCTCTGGACAAAATCCCTTCGCATGGACAGTATCTCATTATTCTTACGCATTATTACCATCTAACTACTACACACATCAGCGCTTTTGATTTTATGCTTCGTAACATCAAAGATGCATTAGTTCGTCTATTCCAACGCAACCCAAATGTACAAGTCGTTTTACAGGTAGGATGACGCATAATTTACTGTTTATGTCTTTTAAAATATGAGAAATGTCATCTTTGCATGAGTTCAGTAAAAGACATCTGCGAACTATGCTTTTGTATGGCAGAGAACAGGCAGTTAGCTAATTAGTCGACAGATTATCCTCATTGCACAGCAAACCATTCCGCCTATAATTATTCGAATGCCCCGCTCTCTAGCGTAGTTGGCTAAACCGGATTGCGCAGTGAGCGGGTGACGAACTCCTTGTGGTCCGGGTTCACTCCCAGGGGTAGGCAGAAAAGCCACATTTCTCCCAGATTTACGGTATTTACAATGGAATCAAGGCCGAAAGGTTGCGATATCCAAAATACCGAGCCTAATGGTTAACAACTCATGGCTTCTGGATACTAAAACAAACAAACAAACAAACAATTGTTCGAATCTATTCATTGGCAACTGTCTCACATTGGCTTGCCTGTAGACGGCTTCGTCGTCGGTCGAGATGGTATTTGAGTCTGTCTCTCTTGATCGCATCAACATTGCAACAGTTTTTTTCAGGGCTACTTGGTGGCGAGCAATGCTAAGCTATTTTATTTGGCGCACATAAACCTGGTCAGAATTATAACCAAAAATCCCAACTTTGAGGATACTGGTTGAACGTGACAATTTGTTTGGGGTGTTTGTTAGCAAAGCAAGTCAAGTCAAATTTGGATCTTATCCTTGGTAAATCTGGCAGCGTGTAGCGGCCGACGACACCAGTTCTGTGTTAGCTTTTTATTTTTCTTTGGCTTTCTGCGTAGCGCTTCTTTGTTGTTGACCACACACCTTTTTATTTGCTGCTCTAGTTGTCTGGTCATGGCTGCGGATTCATAGTCACTTGGTTCTGGCAAACGTCATATTTCGCGCAAAGCATTCATTGTATCAGCCTGGTCAATGGCTTCTCAGCCCTTCACAGTAGTCTTACCCACAAGCCGATCAGCTTGCTCATTTCCTTGCACGCATGCGTGCCCTGGTTCGAAAATAAAGCCGACCTTTGTCATCCTTACGGTCTCAAAGACACCAACCACTGTTTTTAGACTCAGCCCACCTCTATCTTCCAGCTGGATAGATAGACAGAGACAGACAGATAGACACACAGATTCATTCATTGACTGATAAAAAGACACACAGAGCAAACGAACGAACGAATGAACAAATTTTATTTTCAAAGGGTTACAAATTAGGCACACATGCCCGTCCTACATTACACAGACAGACAGACAGACAGACAGACAGACAGACAGACAGACAGACAGACAGACAGACAGACAGACAGACAGACAGACAGACAGACAGACAGACAGACAGACAGACAGACAGACAGACAGACAGACAGACAGACAGACAGACAGACAGACAGACAGACAGACAGACAGACAGACAGACGGACGGACGGACGGACGGACGGACGGACGGCTGGATAGATAGATAGATAGATAGATAGATAAGATAGATAAGATAGATAAGATAGATAAGATAGATTAGATAGATAGATAGATAGATAGATAGATAGATAGATAGATAGATAGATAGATAGATAGATAGATAGATAGATAGATAGATAGATAGATAGATAGATAGATAGATAGATAGATAGATAGATAGATAGATAGATAGATAGATAGATAGATAGATAGATAGATAGATAGATAGATAGATAGATAGATAGATAGATAGATAGATAGATAGATAGATAGATAGATAGATAGATAGATAGATAGATAGATAGATAGATAGATAGATAGATCATGCAGTACATAAGGATATGACAAACTAGACATATGTTGCTTGGGAGCATTTTTTGTTTTTAAAAAAAACAGGTTAGCGCTGGGCGGTTGGTCCAGTGAAAATCATGATTAGCACGTGGAGGTCTCCGCGGCGAAGTGGTCAAGCTATGTGCCTCACGCTTTGAAGGTCCTGGGTTCGTTTTACTGAGGCGTCCTCCAGTTCACTAGTGTAATTTTTGAACATTATCGCTGGAGCTATGGAGTTTGTGCTTCACTCTTAACAGGGGCCCCAGGAAAAGCCGAGGGGGGGGGGGGGGGTTAAAATAACTGAAAATTGCATCCCATAAGGGGATGAAGATTGGTAGGTGTTAATTTGTTACCGACATTTTATCTGCAAATGTTGTCAACAGTCGTCCCCTGGGGGGTACATTTTTTTTGTTAATTTGAAGCCCTATCTCGGCTTGTGCTGGGGGCCTAAACATAACCGGGCCATAACGGTTTCCGGGACCCTTTCATGGGTAATTCTCACCCGCATGGTGGCACTTTGTGTCACCTGCTGTTTAAAAGTAATAAGTAAAGTAAAGTAAAGGACCCTTTTCCACGCCTTTAGGCGTATAGGTCATATAGGGGTAGACCTATATTTTAAAGACCAATTGGCACAAGATGGGTGATGTGGTCAGCATCACGCCGGCCGTCTTCACTTCCCGAGACTGCACCTGGTACCCACTCAAGGCTGGGTCGACCTGGGAGCCAAGGTCATTTTTTGAAAAAAGTCATCTGGTGTTTATTGCTTGTATATTGTCGTACAATAAATGAATGAATGACTTTCTACCCCACCAGGATATTATACAATCGATAAACACCCGATGACACAATGTGCCACCATGTGGATGAGGATCACCCGTGAAGAGGTTTCGGAAACCGCGTTCAGCCATTAGGCCATATTTTTACCGGGCTCTATTGCGGCCCCTGGCAAGAGCCATGGTGGGGCTTCGAAATAACGAAAAATTGTATCCCACATTAGGATGACTGAATTATGATGTGTAATCAGTAGGGTACAACTGACTTTCTACCCACCAGGACATCACACAAACGATAAACACCCGATGACACAAAGTGCCAATATATGGATGAGGATCAAGTGGAGAGGTCCCAGAAATCGCGTTCAGCCATTAGACTATATTTATGGTCGGGCTATATTGCCGCCCCTGGCAAGAGCCGGAGTGGGACTTCAAATAACGAAAAATTGCACCTCAAAAGTGGAATTAAGTAAATACGTGGATACAACCCGCCTACCTACCTTATCTGCAAATGTCATTATTATCAGATGATGTTTCTAATAACATCTTGCTTTAAATATTCTGATTACCAAAACTATAATTTATTATTGGCTAAACATCAACAGGGTCCACATATAGCCTGGTACGGCTGGCTTGAACATTACGCGGCTGGAGATATGTTGGGAACACAATTCATGGACTTGCAACAAGAAATATTTCAAGACATTAAAGATAAAGTGGTGTTTGTCTCCCCTTGGGATATGACTATAGCTACGGAAAACTATGATTACCACCCTACTGTCAACAAGCAAATCTTTGAAACTATTGTGGGATTCATGTGTGGAAGATAATTCATTTAATCAGTCAGTCAATCAATGACGCAATCAATCTATCCGTCTATCAGTCAATCAGCAATTTAGTCAGGTGCCATCTCCAGGTAATAGTGAAAATATGGGAGTGACTGAACTCAAGCTAATACAAGGAATTCCAGTGAAATTTGACTAAAAAGCTTAACCAAATTTGGAAGCAGAAAAACGTGCACAAAACAACACCAATAACGTTTCGGCCGTCATCGGTTATTTTTTTTAAAATTCATTGCACATCATATTTTTTAAAACGTTGCTCACGTCACCCCTTAGATATTGTATACTCTTCTCTCCTCGTTGTTACCTTTGTGTAATTCACTTCATGTTTGACAAAGGCTGCCGGCCGAAATGTTATTTGAGTTGTTTTGTGCACGTTTTTCTGCTTCCCCACTTGGTTAAGCTTTTTAATCAAATTTCACTGAAATGCCATCTCCAGTTAGGAATTTCCGCAACTGATCTCCAAAACTCTCGAGTTCCTTTAATTTGAGCACATTCTAGAGTTTGTAATTAATACCTAATTGTTGTGGATTATTATTATTGTTCCTTAAAAGGAGATTTAAGAACGAAATAATATATATATATATATATATATATATATATATATATATATATATATATATATATATATATATATATATACAATAGGACGGTATGAAAGAAATAGTTTTAGATGGGTCTCCCTACCCAAATTCTCCATCTTTTGAAAATAAAAATCGTTCTTTTGTCTCCTCTTGTCATGCTTTTCCGTTATATGAGTATGTTGTTCGTCCATCATATGTTGCAAAATATAATAAATAATAATACCCCAGAAAAGTTTATATATTCAGAAAGAGAAATCACACATGATTTTGACAATTACATTAAAAAAGACAACCCGCTAACTTATTTATCACAGACAAAGTTTAAATGATTTTATCAGACAGAATGTAGCATGCAACAAACCCATTGAGAAAGAAGATTAAATCGTGTGACCATCTAGTTAGAATAAAAATAACTATTTAATTAGCCGAAAATGCATTTTAAAAAGAAAAGTTAGAGATCCTTTTCAAACCAATGTTGCCTAAGACACCTGATGCTAAAATCCTTTGTTGTATACCAAACGGCGCTAGTTAAATTTTTACTCAGATTACACGTCCTCTAAGACTGTCCTAAATATAATATATCAAGGCAAACATTTTTGACCAAGAGAAATCACGGTTAAAGCCAATCTTTACAGGTGGATGAGTGAATTACACAAGCAAGTGAAGTTCATACTAGCTACAACATTGCCGATATAGATAATCTATAACAAGCGAAAGAAAGAAGAAGAAAGAAAAGTACCTGATTTTGATTTTGATTTAGTTTGATTCAAGAACCGACATCACAGCACTCGGGGCATTTCCATAAGCGCTCCGTCCCCATCTTCAGCAGCCAGCGAAGAGTTCCGATACCAATGGTGGGAGTAGCATTCTGATTAAACGTCCGTCTTGCCTTTCCTCTGAACCTCGAGCATCTGCCAGAACCTCTCGTCACTCCCCCCTGCATCAATCTCACCAGACTGTGGTGATCCATCTGCTCCTCCGAACTATACACGCTCTCCCACAAGACATTAACCACGTCTGCCCTATCATGTATCAGTATTCCACCAAGTTGTGCAGAGCCAGCCAGCCAGTCCCGTTCATTTAAAAAATAACTTAGATATATATATAAGGTCAATAACGACTGTCAATGATTGAAAACGACACAAGAACTATATTTATCCTTTTCTCAAAGTCCACGCTGTGTGGCGTTGATAGTCATGTTTATCCACACCTTCTTTCTCATGTACGTTCAATAAACTTTTACCCAGATGGTCCTCCATGCCATGATATCAGACAGTCCAGTATCTGTTCTCTCGGTCTTTTCCCGCTTCTCCTCCCCTCCAACTTTCTACTGTCATGATGGACTCCCGTTTTCTCCTTCTCATTACATGACCAAAGAATGTAGACTGTCTCTTTCTGATGTAGGCAATCAGTTCTCTTTGTGGTTTGCCAGATCCAATCGTGTGTGATCGCAGACTAATGACAGTTTGTATGGCTATGGCAAGTCCGGCTCGCTAGCGTAGTTGGCTAAACCTGATTGCGCGGTGACCGGGTGACGAACTCCTTGTGGTCCGGGTTCACACCGGGGGGAAGGCAGAAAAGCCACATTTCTTCTAGATGTACGGTATTTATTGCGATATCCATAATACCGAGCCTAAGGGTTAACAACTCATGGCTTCTTGATACTAAAAAATGGCTACGGTATTCACTTGCAGTATGCAGCTTAACTGATTCAGATTGTGACTGGAATCACTGGTATAGGCGGTTGAGCAATTATGGGCCAAGCTCCTTTGCTGTTATTCTGGAACCGTAACGACTAACTAACTAACTAACTAACTAACTAACTAACTAACTAACTAACTAACTAACTAACTAACTAACTAACTAACTAACTAACTAACTAACTAACTAACTAACTAACTAACTAACTAACTAACTAACTAACTAACTAACTAACTAACTAACTAACAGTTCTCTTTTTGTCAGTTTCTTTCAAGACGTTTTAATTGCTCTTTATGCCCCATAAAGCACTTTATTATAACCAAGAAAAGTACACTGCGTTATTTACTTCTGAAAGAGATAATTACAGATACATGTTCGGACAATTTTCACCTCTCCACGACCTTCACCTGTCCGACATACTTGCAATAAAACAGTGTGTAAGCGGCTGTGCAGGTGACAGTTATTTCGTGAGAGATTTTACTAAAAGCTCACGTCTTCCTGTGTGGATAATGTGTCATCCAAGATAATGCACAGGCACAAATTTAGTTGCAAGCAAAATCTCTAAACCAAAATGTTCAAATCGTTGTTGTTTGGTAAAAGCCGATGTTTTGCTTTAGCAGTGATCCTTCTGTGCTTCGGTGTAACAGTTCTTACATTCGCAAGGTATGTGGTTTTAATACAATCTCTTTGTATCTCTGGGTCTGTCTAACTAGTTGCTGTCTGTGTGTCAGTCTGTCTTTCTGTCTGCCTGACTGTCTGTCTGTCAGTCAGTCAGTCAGCCAGTCTGCCTATCTGTCTGTAGATCAGTCATCCATTCAGTCTAATTGTCTGCCTACCTGTCAGTCTGTCTGTCTGTCTGCCTGTGCGTGCGCGCACGTATGTGTGTGTGTGTGCGTGCATGCGTGCGCGCTAGCGCGCGTGTGTGTGTATATGTGTGTGTATATATGTCTGTCTGTCTGTCTGTCTGTCTGTCTGTCTGTCTGTCTGTCTGTCTGTCTGTCTGTCTGTCTGTCTGTCTGTCTGTCTGTCTGTCTGTCTGTCTGTCTGTCTGTCTGTCTGTCTGTCTGTCTGTCTGTCTGTCTGTCTGTCTGTCTGTCTGTCTGTCTGTCTGTCTGTCTGTCTGTCTGTCTGTCTGTCTGTCTGTCTGTCTGTCTGTCTGTCTGTATGTATGTATGTATGTATGTATGTATGTATGTATGTATGTATGTATGTATGTATGTATGTATGTATGTATGTATGTATGTATGTATGTATGTATGTATGTATGTATGTATGTATGTATGTATGTATGTATGTATGTATGTATGTATGTATGTATGTATGTATGTATGTATGTATGTATGTATGTATGTATGTATGTATGTATGTATGTATGTATGTATGTATGTATGTATGTATGTATGTATGTATGTATGTGAGTGTACGTATGTATGTATGTATGTGAGTGTACGTATGTTTATAAGAGTGTTAATGAATGTTTAATTGTGATCGTTACAGAATAAATATGTACGTTTCTTTCTCTACCTGTCGCAATTAATTAGCTAAGTGTCAACAAAAAACAACACTAGCTATGACGTGAGATGTGAAGGAGAATAAAGGGAAGAGAAAAAGAAAGGGCAAATTTTTTTTGAGGAGGGTGTGTTGGGTGGGGTGGTCGAACTGGAACTATTTTATTGTTTTTCTGCAGGAGGAAAGCGAAATATTAAAGGATGAGTGATAGTTTGTCATTTATTTTGCATTGTCAGTGTAACAATGTGTTTTATTGTTTCCCACACGCTGTCTCGAAAAGGTATTTCGTTTTATCCTTAGTTCAGTTGCCGATCTGCCTTAGTATTCCATGTCAGGTAATTAGGTGTCATCTCAACAAAGATAATTGCCTACTTTGACTCTCTAACAATCTACGTCTCTCTCGCAAGTTGCACACTGACAGATCGCTGTTAGTGAACCTCTGGATGTTATTCTCTCGCATGATGGCCGTCGACAGTGCTCTTCAAAAGTTGTAACCTGCAACTTTCCCAAATATCTAAATAAATAGTGTACTGATCAATATGCATTTTTGCATTTCGCCTAAGATTTTCTATGTCCATTTGATTTTATAATTTATAGTTACACAAGTGCTGCTGTCTTTTAAAAGTGGTGAATTTCAAGTGCTGCTGTCTTCTGAAAGCGGCGATTTTCTGTGATCTTTGTTTGACTAATAATTTAAACACGCCTAAAAAAATAGAATATACATTAATTGACACACGCGTGGATAATGGAAATAAATTCACTTGTTAAGCCATGCGTATCAATTACTTGGATAGCTTGTCCTGCATGTAATTAACAAATTAACAACTTACAGCAGCCTAATTATGGAGGCGACCTCATGAGAATTGAACACCTAGGAAACGTGCGCAAACTGATTTTTTGGAAAACTCCCATTACATAGTTAGCCGTGCGATCCTTGCAACTGTCACCATTGTGGACATTACTGTGTGTCGATTCTCTAGGGGACGTGATGTAATGAATGGCGTGTGTCGTTCAACGCCATCAGGACCGTACGTCCAGTCACCAACACTCGGTGACACAAAATGCAACGATTCGGATGATGATCACCCGGGCACAAGTCCCAGAAACTCATTTCAACCGTTAGGTTATATTAGAGCCTCTAACTACAGCCGGGGTGGGGCTTTCATCATCATCATGTAGCAGGTCCTTTGCAGA